CCTGCTGAATTAGAAAGCTCTTAATTATCAAAAATCCTTTTTGCCTGTAGGTACATGAAGGCTGCAGTCAAGTCACTTCTCAGTCTTGTCTTGACTAAATTAATAGATAGAGCTCCTATAGTGTCTTGCTATTGATGCATTTCTCCTGACTTCTATGAATTTTAAAACTCTTTTCTCCACTTTTTTTTTTTTTTTTTGATTTTCAAGATTCCTTTCAGGTTACCGTAAGTGCCCATTGCTTTCCAGTAAAAGTTTCACAGAAGTTGCATACAATTAATTCCACACCAGTTTTTGATTAATATTTACTTATTTACTCTTACAAAGATTACATTTGTCTTCAAATAGTATCCCACTGGCAGTTCATATCCAACTTACCATCTACAGTGGCACTCTGTCCTTCTCAAAGTTACTATTTTTCTGGCTAACTCAGAAAAAAAATGAGACTAATGACAAAATAAACAACAAAAGAAAAAATTCTCTTCAATGAAATTGGAAACAATAGGGAAGTGGTTGGTTCTGCCTGTTAGTAACCCCTGACCTGGAGAACTGACCAGCGTTGGGACTGATGTTACATAAATATAATTAAATTTACCCTCAATGATAAAATGAGTGGTAATGGTGCTCCTGAGAGAACACAGCTTATGTTGGTGTCAATGTTATGAATGTTTCCTGAGAGACTGCACCATCTATTAAACCAATTTCTTGCTACCATTTCCTACCATTTCTACCTTTGTCGATCAGTTAATATCTTAAAAGCACCAGGTAAGAATCTCTGTATTAGCACTGACCAAAGCAAAAGCTAAACAGGAAAGCTATATGGGTGTGACATAGGAAAAGGAATAGTCTGGGCAGTAAAAAAGGCAGTGAATTTTTTTTATGTGGTTTGTCTCATACTCCGAAGATGTGTGTTCATCTCAGTAGAGATGAACATGGGAAAGCAATAACAGGTAACAATTTCTGTGATTCTCTGTGGGAGAACACATTAATATCATAAAGAAAAGCAACAGCTCAAAGTTCCACGTATAATCTTAAATACTCTTTTTCCTGTGTCTAATGTTAATGAAAACCACATATTCCTAGAAAAGAAGCAGACCTCCAAGGTGCACTTTTAACTGCAGGTTATATCAATTGGTTTGTGCTGTAATGCTGGTTCTTGGGATAAGGCAAGCCATCAATCAAGAGAGGTTTACAAGGAAACTAGATACTGTATTTTTTCACTTTCAATTGTTATAGAGAGCTCCGTACTGAAAGGAAGAGGTGAGGCCAAAGCAAGTAATTTAGGATCCTTTTAAAGATCCAGTGTTCATGTGTGTGCACGTGTGTGTGCCCATGCACGGGCACATGCACACATATAGTGGCTGAAATGGGAACTTATAATCTTCTCTAGTGTCTATCTAGTGGCATATGACCACAGCCCGTCCTGTTCTGGCTGAGGATGCCTTCAAAACGGTACATTGCACTATCACAGTAATAACCTCAGGTAACCATGCAAATCATGAGCACCTTCTCAGGAGCCAGAAATGGCGCTGTAGATTCCCGGGGGGGAATCCTCTCTCTTGATAAACCACAATTGTCCACATGCTTTCCTAAAAGGACAGCACGTGGAAAGGACTGGAACGCCAAGGCACTATGCACTGCTACTTTGCCCATCTACATGAGCAATCTGCGTCTGTTTAAACATCATGGATGTTTTGTTCCACACTGTTGCAAAACCAGCCAGCCATAAAGTGGAGCCATATGGCTCTCCCTCCTCTCAAAATGAGGTTGCTGTCACTTGTTCTTCTTTAAAGTGCTACTTAGAGAACTACATAAACGCATCCTATTGATAGCAGGATCAGACACTTTCATTTTTGCCTAATATCAAGCCTACATAAACTTCAGCATCATCGATTTTGCATTGTCTTTTCAAGGGACTGTGAAAAGGCCTAAAGAACAACAAATGCACAAATACCATTCAAAATGAAAAGCGAGAAAGAATACAGGCAAATTAAATAAGTAGCAATAGTTGAGATATGCTATTTTTTACAGCATTAGCTAGTGCCGGCTTAACTTCCAGAGCATTCTGGCTTTTAGTTAGAAAAATACCATTTTGGTAGAAAGCACTTTTTTTTTTTTTTGCCAAGCCTTTGAAGAAAAGATAGAGATTTTACATGCTATGATTGTATATATGAAATATTTATGTGAACCCCCACATGTTTTACCAGCATGTCAAAACCCAGTTAACTAATTTCAATATATCACTAATACTTCTTTTAAGTTTTTATCTTTTTTTCTTTTTTTTTTAGAAAAGATCCACAACTTTCTCAAAGAAATAAGTGGCACAGCCTCTTCACTTAAGACAAGAGCTATATATGTATCCTACAGGAATCAGCTTTCCTGGCACTGGATTACCCAGAAGGACTTTTCTATACTAAATTTTGTTGTTTGATGTTAGATGTCAAACAAGTTTCTCCAGAACTGATTCTTTAAATATCACTGGGTGCTTGACTTCAAACAAATCACTGTTTTCTAGCCATTAGATCCTTGCAGATGCTTTTATCTGATGTAAATTTCCCTTAGTTTTTTTAGGCAGTGAAGCAGTCCATAATCACTTACCCATTTTGAAGGAAGAGAAGCCTTTCTGTCCCTGTACCGCATTTTTAACCTTGCAGCACTCATCAAAGTGGCATGCAGGTATATTTTATGCGTATACATATTAGGACTGCACAACAATAATGAAGTCAACATGGAGACTTCAAATACAAATGGTTACTTTAAATTTCCCAAGTAGATTTGTGAATCTAAGAAGATTCTTCATAGGTTTTTCAACATAAAAATTCAGCCTTTATATTCTCAAGTGAAAATACAAGTGAAAATAAAAGGTGAAAAAGCCCATAAAAATCCTATATATGTCCTTCTAATGGTGGCTGTGACTGTTTACTTTTTTGCATTTTGAGAAATTAGGAATAATTCTCTTCTCTGTGTAAAAATTAAAAATATTCTACAGCAGAAATCCTAACCCAACCTTTGGATGCTCTTTGCCAGTATTCCTACTGGCACAGAGAATCTCCCTGGTCAAAAATCAAATGGTAGTTTTTTCACCCCTATTTTATTCTGTCTGCCTGGCACAGTTCAGTGGATTTTGTATGGATATATGCACACACAGTCATCCACAGACAGGGTAATGTTCTCAACTCCTACATGCTTTCAACAGGTATGATTAAAGAGGCTCAGTTCTTATTTTTTCTGGCCTTGTTCCAGGGGAATAAAGTAACTCGGTGTGACAAAATCTGGAAGGACATGAATTATTTGACAGTGGAATAATAAAATCAGGGATCAAATGTAGTACTGTATAAACTATAAATACAAGTGCACTGTACCAAGTCAATTCTAGCCTCAAGGTTGCAGTCATAATAAAATATGCTTTGCAATTGTTTTCTAAGACCTTTTAGGTATGAGTAAGGATGCAGAAAAATTAGATTTCCCCTGAATTATATCAGTATACAGATTATTTCAAATTATGAACATTAAAAGTCATAACCACTGGAAATAGCTTTTCCTGCTGTTGTAGGCTCAGACTACATGCCCAGCAGCTGAAATTTACACGGCTCATTATTTAACACGGCAATAACCACTTTGCTTTATTCCTGGGTTAAAGCAATGTCAGGTAAAATTACATTATATTTTGAAAAGGGAAATACGCGAATCTTGACATCAGGGCATGTTTTCTATGCTGGCTAGAAAATGTGATTTTTTATGACAGGCTCGGAATGAAAAATAATCTATTATTCGCATAGACAAAAAGTAATTATTTTGATGCTTTAGAAGTAGTATGGGAATTCTAACGCATAACCTAAAGATTTAACACCTTCCCCATCCTACGCATTTTACCAAATAACAAATTTGAAAAGCTCCTTTTCTTTTTATAGAGTATAATGAAATCCAATGTGTTTAGAAATTAATAGAATAAGGAAACAGAGCATGAAAAAGGCTTAATAAAACAATTAAAACTGCACTTGGGTTTTTTAATTGATTTTAATTTTTATCATGCTGTAGTTAATCAGAAGGATTGATCTTTTTTACGTGGACAATCTCAGTGTTCCCTGATATTTGCTTAAAATCGCAGTTGCTTAGGCTTTTCCAACAAAACAGACCTGTGAAATAATAAAAATAAAGATTAGAAGACTAGGCATGGAGTAGTTGTGATGAAGGTGTTTAAAGCTACATTTCCAGTGGAAATGTGACTGTTCTGTTATCTTGCCACTGGCACCCCCAGGTGACCGTCCCACGGCCAACCTTCTCAGGCCCTGCAGAGTGGCAGGTTGAGAGAAGTCACTCTGCAGGCTCCAGTTTGCAGTTGCCAGTGCAGTATTTTTAGGAGCACCAGCTCCAG